GAGTGCAGCTCTGCGCCGCCGCCTCCGCGGACACCGCCCGCGCGCCTTCAGGCCGTCAGGCCCCGCCCCCAGACCGCCCCGTCGACAGGCACCGCCCACCAGCTCAAGCCCCCCTGATGGCCCTGGTCGCCAGGCACCGCCGGGACTGTCAGACTTCGCCCCTAACCAGTCCCGGACGACCAGACGTAACTCCAGACCGCTTCCGTATTGTCAGGCTCCTTTCCAGCCGTCTCTGACCACCAAGCCGTGCCCCGGGACCACCAGGCCCCGCCCTCGATCCGCCCCATACAGTCAGAACCCGCCCCCAGTCCTCCAGGACCCGCCCCCGAACCCCGATCCAGGCCCGGGCCGCCCGCCTTGCCCGCCCCTCGTCCGTTCAGGACACTCCCCCTTCCGCCCCACCGACCAATCATCAACGCGGTGGGTGGAGCCCGGAAACCCTGTCTCTGGGCGTTTGGTTGAGACTCCGGCCCCGCCTCTGACGACCTCGAGCCGCCACCTCGCCTTTTCTAAAAGGGCTGGACGCGTCTCGTCTCGACCTTCGCCTACTGTCTGCAGACTTTTCTGTCCTCTTTCCCCTCCACCCCTTCACCCCAGCGTCCACGGCCCTCCCCGAGGTCTATCGCCGCTCCTGACCCCTTCGGCGAGACCCCGCCTCTTGGTTCCCCCTCCCTTCCTGCACCCCCTCTCCCCCCCAACCCCCGCCTTCAGCGCTGCCATCCCCTTCTCCACCCTCTGGAGCTGTCACTCTCCCCCAAAGGCGGTTTCCCGGGGGTCACGGTGATAAAGCACTTCTCACTTCTCTCAAAACCCCCACTAACCCCTCTGCGTGGCCCAGCACTGCGGACCCAGACCCCTGACCCAGGATGTAAGAAGTTTTAAAGCCTGGAGCCTCAGTTTCCCCAGCTGTACCTCGAAGGGCCTCCCTGCCTATTTCAATCAGGACTATCTCCCCTAGTCTTGGGGACCCCAGTGCTGATTAAATATGAAGGGATTGTACCTATGCTGTGATATACAACCAGCCCCCCAGCCCCCACTCCCATCAACTCCGTCCCAGTTCTCCTGACACCTAGCCAAGGATAAGAACCAAAAAGTATTTGTTCAATGAATAATGACTATGACTTGGATTGACCGTTCTTCATTTCAACATCACTCCAGATACTATCCACGTAAGGACTTAGATTTTAATTGCAAATATATATTCAACATATTCTTGTTTGTTGCCCGTGATTCAATTCATGGCGACTCCGAGTGTGCAGAGTAGAACTTTAACTCAGGATTTTCAAGTCTGGGTCCTTTCAGAAGCAGACCACCAAATCCTATAATCAGAGGTGCCCCTGAGGTTTCAAACCACCAACCTTTGGCTTTGTTGTTGCCAAGTGTCCGTAGATCGGTTCCAACTCATAGCAACCCTGTATAGCTTTTCTGAGGAGCAGCTGGTGAGTTTGAACTGCCAACCTTACTCTTCAAAATGACCTTGCTGTCCAATGCTTATCCTACAACCAACACCAGGACTCCTTTGAGGTAGTCGTGACTACTTAGCTGTCTGTGCTATGCAGGGGCTCCCATACAAGGGGGTTTCAGAAAGTGCATGGGAAAAATCCATTTTAATTCTATTTTTCCTCGAACCTTCTGAAGCTCCGTCATATATAACCCATTTACTAATTCAGCATTTTTCAGGTATACAATTTAGTGACTAACATCAATGACATCATTCTGTGCAACCGCCACTCAGGGTTGTTGGTGTGGCGCTGTAGGACAAGCACTGGACTGCAAGGTCAGTTTGAAGGGTAAGGTCTATGGTTCAAATCCACAAGCTGCTCCTTGGAAACTCTAAACAGGGTCACTAGGAGTCAGAACCAACTCGACGGCACTAAACATCAACAACATTGCAATAAAGAGAATTCTTTAATATGTCTCCTCTAGCCAGTCTTTGTAACTCCCACCAAATGATTGGGTTCTTGTGAAGTGCCATCGAGTTGCTTCTGATTCATAGTGACCCTGTACTGGGGTTACGAGCAGTGACTGGTGGGTTTGAACCACTGACCTTGCAGTTAGCAGACCAGCGCTCACCCTACAGCGCCACAGTTATGAGTATTGTCTGTGAGTTCTGTGTGGTCATCGCATTGGATTATGGAACACGGCAGAGAGGTAAAGAGTGCCAAGGCAGAATTGGTAAGGAAAGTTGGAAGGTGAAGGCCTTTCAGAACTGCTCCTCATAGGACTCAATGTTGGGCTGATTTTGAGTTTCATTCTTCTTCCCTTGGTGTAGCCGGAGGATGACAAATGTCACAATGCCATTTCTGCAGCTATAAAGAGAAACACACTGCTTTCTAAACTATGTTGTTGTAAAGTGCCATCGAGTTTGTTCTGGTTCATAGTGACCCTGTGTAGTGTTTTTAAGGAATGGCTGGTGGTTTAGAACCACCAACCTGTGGTTAATAGTCCAGTGCTTAGTCTACAGTACCACATAATGCCCCCTTCCTCCCTCCCACTCCACATTGTGGTTAAGTGCTGTCGAGTCAGTTGCAACTCACAGCGACCGTATATCGAGTTTCTGAGGAACGGCTGATGGGTTTGAACTGCCGACTCTGTGGTTCACAGATCAGTGCCGATCCTACAGCAACACACCAGGAGTCTCATAGAGAGAATGATTTAATGTCAAGCAGTGTTCCGTGGGAGAAAGATGAGGCGGTTCTGCTCTCGTAAAGATGTACAGCCATGGAAGCCATGTGCAGGTCACCATGAGTCGGAACCGACTCCACGGTACTTAACAACAACAACAACAAGTGTTCAATTGTTTGGTCTCAGCTGGTAACTAAACCACCACTCTGTCAATTTGTTGTACTGTGGTGGCTTGTGTGTTGCTGTGATGTTGGAAGCTATGCCACTGGTATTTTATAGATCAGCAGGGTCACACATAGCAGACAGGTTTCAGCTGAGTTTCTAGACTAGACAGACTGGAACAAAGGAGAGGCAGACGACCTATGACTATTTAGCCACTCAAAACCTTAGGAATAGCAGCAGAAAATTGTTTAGATATATTGTTGTTGCTAAGTGCCATCAAGTCAGTTCTGACCCAGAGCAACCCTGTATAGGGTTTCTAAGGAGCGGCTGGTGAATTTGAGCCTCCAACCTTGCGGTTCAAACCAACATTGCAGTCCAGCACATTAACCCACAGTGCCACACCAGGACTCCTCTTCAGATATAGTGCCAAAAAATTAGCCCGTCAGGTTAGAAAGCGTTCAAAATACGACTGGGGAAGAGCTGCCTCCTCAAAGTAGAGCTGACCTCAGGGACATGGATGGAGCAAAGCCTGCAGGACCTTCATTTGTTGATGGTGCACAACCCAAACTGAGAAAAAATAACTGCAAGCATCCCTTAATAACCAGAGTGTGGAATGTACAAAAAGTATGAATCTAGGAAAAGTGGAAGTCATCAAAAATTGAACGGAATCCATACAGATCAATGTCTTAGGCATTGGTGAGCTGAAATGGATTGGTCTTGGCCATTTTGAATCTGATAACCATATGGTTTACTACACCAGGAAGGAAAAATTGAAGAGGAATGGTATCACATTCATCATCAAAAAGATCTATCTTCAAGGTCAATGCTGTCTGTCATAGGATAATATCCATATGCCTACAAGGAAGACCAGCTATTACTACTATTATTCACAATTATGCACGAACCACTAAAGCCAGTGATGGTGAAATTGAAGAATTCTACCAACTTCAGTATGAAATTGATCAAACATGCACTGATAATTACTGGTGATTTGAATGTAAAAGTTAAAAACAAAGAGGAAGGATCAGTAGTTGAAAACTACAGCTTTCATGATAGAAATGATGGTGGAGATCATATGATAAAATTTTGCAAGAGTAACAACTTACTGATCGCAAATACTCCTTCAACAACATAAATGGTGAATATACATGTGGACCTCACCAGATGGAATACACAGATATACAACAGACTACATATATGGGAAGAGACAATGGAGAAGCTCAGTGTTATCAGCCAAAACAAGGTCAGGGGCCGACTATGGACCAGAAGACCAATTACTCATATATAAGTTCAAGCTGAAGATGAAAATTAAAACAAGTCCAGTAGAATCCATATGTGACCTTGAATATATCCTACCTGAATTCAGAGACCATCTCAAGAACAGATTTGATGCATTAGACACCAAAGACCAGAGGAGTTGTAGGATGACTTCAAGAACATCATGCATGAAGAAAGGAAAAAGTCATTAAAAAGAGAGGAAAGAAAGAAAAGACCAAAATGAATGTCAGAGGAGACTCTGAAAGTACCTTTTGCACATAGAGAAGCTAAAGTGACTAGAAGAAATGAAAAAGTGAAAGAACTGTTCAGAAAATGTCAACAGACAGCTCTAGAAGATACAGTAAAGTATTGCAATGAAATGCGCAAAGACTCAGCATTGGAAAATCAAAAGGGAAGAACACACCAAATATTTCTCAAGCTGAAAGAACTGAAGAAGAAGAAGAAGAAGAAGAAAAAAATCAAGTCTAGGGCTGCAATATTGAAGGATTCTACCCGCAAAATCTTGAATGAGTCAGGAAGCAGATCAAAAGAAGATGGAAAGAATCCACAGAGTTACTATACCCCAAAATTGGTTGCTGTTGAACCATTTCA